TTTTTTTTTTTTTTCGTGGTGCCATTTTTACTTTATTGTTTTGATTCTGTATTTTGATCTGTTTCTTTGTTTTCTATGTTCACCGCTAAAAAGGAAAAATTTTGGTTGGTTTATTTTGAACTGCACGAGTTACTTTTGATAAAGAGATTCTTGCCATTATGATTATTCAACTGCCGATTTTGGTATTTACTGTCTTTTTGCCTCTTATTTCAAATATGTTTAATGATTGCTGAATGTTGTAGTATTATAGAAGTTGCTTGCTTGAATGAGCTCCATTTTACTTTCTCAGGTGTGGGTTTTTATCCACTCATTTACCTTTTGTTCAAAACGTCCTTGGAGTCCTAAACTGTTAGATGTTCATGTAATTGTCTTCCTTTTGTCAAGTGTACCTTTAGGCTTCCTTAGTGCTTGTTAATAACCCATAGTCTATTTTCCTGTAAGGCTTTTGTAATTCTCTCTGTTTTCGGGCTTCTTATAGTGCATGGACTCATACTGCCTGTTAATCTTTATGCTATGTAGATTTCGATCTGATATATTTGCTTCAGTTCCCTATTCTTTCAACCAAAATGTAAAAGTTCTTATCCCACATTAGATTAGGTGCTCAACTCCAGCACCAATAGAATGGCCGGAATTTACCTTTGTATTCTGTGTCTGTCAAAGTTGGAAAGAAATTTCTCATATTTCTTTGGTTGTCTATTTTGCGGACAAGCCTAATTAGCTTCAGAGTTGTTGGACTACATAGGATTTGAGCTGAAATAGAGTGGATGGTATTTTCTTTTCTGTTCTTTGACTTGGAGGTTTTCTTAGGCTTGCTGAGATAATTAAATTGATGAGAATTTAACCAGGCCATTCAAAGGAGGAGAGCTTGTATGGGAGAAGGCGAAGGCCAAATACTTGAGAGCCCAATATCGAAGGATGAAAGGGTTCTTAATTCAAATTTGTCATCAGCTACTCAACTCAAGCACAATTTCTCTGCTCCAGCTTCAACTGCCAGAATGAAGCCTTGTCCTCTATCAGTCCATAATGTGTCAAAGATTTGGCTTAATGTCAATAATCAGAATGCTGAGGAATCAGAGATTCTTACACCCCAAAAGAAACTCTTGAACTCAATTGACACTGTAGAGAAAGCTGTGTTGGAGGAATTACAGAAAATGAAGAGGACTCCCACTGCCAAGAAAGCAGAAAGACAGAAGAAAGTCCGCACACTGATGTCATTGCGCTAATCTTTAGTGCATTGTGCAACCACGTATTACCAGATAGCATAGACACTTTCTATCTTCTTTTACAGTTTGACATATTACTAAATGTCTCACTATAGGATTTACTTTCAAACGTCTTTTACGGTTTGACATATTACTAAGTATCTCACCATAGGATCAGGAGTCAATTTTCCTTCAATACTTTGGCGTAGGAACAGAAGGATTTGTTTCAAACTCATGTGGATAAAAAATTGGTTTGGTTTCTTAGCTCTATATTCATGTTACCATGTTCTAATCAAGTATCATAAGAATGGGTTCTACCAATATTTGTTGAACAGGCTTTAGGGTTTTATTCTGGGCCTTTGCCCTTTGCCCTGACATTTTGACCTTTCACATTAAGATTGGAATTTCCTTTCTGTGTAAAGGCTATATTCATGTTATCATGTACTGATCAACTTATTTTTCTAGCTGTTAATTTTTTTTTTTTATGCATGCATTGTTGGAGAAAAGGAAATGCAAATATAGGAACAGAATAAATAATGGAGGTGGTATCTGGGATCAGTTGGATGGCTTTTTCTAGCATATTGAAAAACAGAATAATGATGAAGCTTATGTTTCCTGAAAGTACCCTTGACCTTGCTTTTTGATCTTTCTAACAATTTGAAGATTTCAAGCTCAAAGTTGAACACATGTTGTAGGCTTGTGGCCAATTTCTAATCATTTTCTTCTGTTTTAAATTGCAAGTGCCACTTTCATCTTCACTGCACAAGTCCTTCCTGCCATTCAGTTGGGGATCCTTAAACCATGTTATTTTACAAATGCCTGTGTGCATGTTCTCAGTAGGTGGAGTCTTCACCTTTCAGTTAAGAAACAAGGAAATACACATGGGCCCTGGGTTTCATTATACCTTAATAGCTATTCAGTTATCAAAAATCATACACAACCATCTAATATTTAGTATAATTAAATCAAAATTAATAACAACCACATTGAAAGAGGCATTCATCACAAGCTCACAACCTCATTCACCAGAAAACAAGAAT